TTTCTCCATCACCCACGTAATTTGAAATCTGTCCGAGGCGGGAAAGCTATTGATTTTTGCTGGCAAATTAATTACTTTAGAGCAGTGATTTGTATCTCAATGATTAGATAACTGGCCTTCAATTTCTGGCAACGTAGTTATAAACTATCGTCAGCGTGCGTTAAATTTTAAAAAAAATTGAATTTAAAGGAATAAATAAATTACTAACCTTTTTAACTCTTACACTGATTGTATTGTAGAAATTTGGTGATAGATAACCCAAGAATCCATAATATGCCATAAACGACTTGGGTACAGATTTTGGGCATTTTTGTATGATCTGCTATATGCAGTAATGTTTTTACAAAAAGATTCCCCCACTAGAAAAAAAATGTTTTGGTTATTTCTTAAGGAAAGAGTTCTTATTTTGTTACTTTTCATATCAAGAGAAAAATGAAGGGAAAGTCGTTCCCATGCCACCTCTTCAGGTGGGATGATTTGGGTATTCACGTCTATTACCTTGGTATTTAGCCTTTCGAAATGTATTTTTCCATCTCATCACACTGGATATAATTGGGGACAAATAAAGAAGGTATAGATAAATTTTGTTTTTATTACAAATATAATTATAGGGAATTATTATTTCAAATCTACAATAAAAATCTGAAGAGTTGAAAATGCCCGTTTTCGTGGGTTTATCCCTCCTGGATTGATTGAGGAAGTACTAAGTGATTCCTCTCTGAACTGTCTGTTATGTACTTTTCTTTTTTTCTTCTCTTGTATGTTCGTGGTATCTGTTAACTGCGTGTGCCTAGTAATGAGTATAAAACACTGTCCTTAAGTCATTCCACAAATCTTCAATGTTTCACTAATAAATTCACTACTAAACAAAAAGTTTTAATTACACAAATTATCATTTACAATTACAACATATGAACTGGCCAGACAAAAAAAGTACATAACAGACAAAATAATTTCAAAACTAGAAGTTGTAGCTAGTTAATACTGTACACAGAGTTCTGCAAAGCTTTCATGAAATACAGGCGGGAAAAAAGGGGGGGGGTATTGATGTTATGTCTGAGAATCACTTTTGTTCATTGAGATTCACATTCTAGAGGCTGGTTTAGGAACCAACGCTCTATTTCATTTCCAGTGACTATGATACCATCTGAAATAAGATTTAGGGTACATCCCCAAGTCACCCCACCAGTTACCAAGTCACCCCGCAGAATGAAGTACAAGACTATACGAAAGTCTTAAGGAGAACAAATAAACTTTAAGAATCTTAAAGTATGGTTTTTAAAACTATTTTTCTTTTTTGTGAATTTACTGTTAAATATGTTTTGCTGAAAAAATGTTATTTTGAATTCAGCAATATTTTTCAAGTTATAATTAAAAAGGTACATCGCTTCATCGTGATTCATGAATTGAAGTAGTACGGCAAGAGAAACATATTGCGACAGTTTATCGTTTATTTCCCAAAATTACACTTTTAATATTAATTTCCCTATAACTAAACTAGAGGTGCTCAAAAAGCACATACTTTCTCGCAATATTATGTTATCATGGTTTAATATGTCACAATTTCTGCTTTTCCTGCACTTCCAATACCTCGTAAATAAACGAAGGGTGACAAATAGATGTTTTATTCAAAACTTGAAATTAGAATATATTTTTGACATTGAATTTAGTGCATAAGATATTTAGAGTATTCACAGACACATCCGATGCTTATTTTAGCCTTACAATATTTTGCATAAACAGAATGCGAGAAAGTAAAAGTAAATAAAGAATACGAAAAATTTAGAGTTGTAATTACTAAATACAATAGTATTTTAAAATTATCTCAATATGCTTGTTTCAACAGGAATTACAAGTTACTCCTAGTCTAAACATGTAATGCTAAATGCTCTCCATACGTTTTCACATATAAGAAAATTACCCTAAATTCTTATTAGTAATGAAGAACAAACGCTCATTTCCATCTGTATTCTGAATTCAAAATGTATGGGTTAGGGTAGGGATGCCAGAATTTATGAACACATGTCTCCCCATAGTACCTCACACACAGTATTTAACTCTTTTAGACGCAAAAAATAATGTTTAAACAAATGAAATTAAGCATCGTAAGGGTTCCATACCCGTCCAACAAAGAGAAGAATTCAAAAGAATTTCGCACTAACAGCCCTTCCAACAAGCCTCATCTAAAGAACTCCCAAAAATTGAAATATCGGTTTCAAAATCAAGGGGCTTCAATATTTGCTAGATAGACGGGAGAATATCAATTTTGGAGAAAATCGGATGAACGTTTTAGCCGCTAGCGTTGTTCACAGACGGACAGACGGACAGACGGACAGACGGACAGACGGACAGACGGACAGACGGACAGACGGACAGACGGACAGACGGACAGACGGACAGACGGACAGACGTTTTGCCGTCAATCGATTTTTCTGTTTCAAGGACCTACAATATATGGATTCTGGGTACACCACGTGTTAGAGGATTTTTTAGCAACTGGATTCATCCTCTTTTTCGTTACCAGCGCCCGACAATCAGATTTTTTCTGCCGAAAATTCGCCACCTTTTCCCCGCGGTATTTCATGCTTTTTCTCTATTGCATACGCGGTAGCGAGAAAGTAAAAACGAACGTAAAGCCATGAAACTTTTACGAGGCGTGTAAGCATGTTAAATAAAAAATATGCGAACTTATAAATTTCAGTTCAATAATTATTCTCATACAAACTGCATTAAAAACTGGAATAGTTTTGAAGGTTAAAAAATAGTTATAGAAGGAAGAGTTATCTCTTGCCTCTTCTGTGTGCAGATCTATTTTTATTGCTGCAAATCATTACTTCTGTTTACTTAAAGTTAACTTTCATGAACATTTTTCCATTCTTCAGCGAGGTTATAACAATGCATAAGCAAAATATGAGATAAAATGACATAATAAATTACTTATATTTCTTTTTTGTTCTTCCATACTTCAATGTTTTTTCTTATATTTCTTTGTGTATTGTTACAGCCCCACTGAAGGTGGGAAAAGTGTTCCCCTAAAGTTGACTCTGAGATGTTTTAATATACATTAAAACTTTTATTGTTGTAAATTCATTGTTTCATAATTAATTTTATGGACTGCCACAAGGTATTTGCTACCACCACTGAATTATATCCTTGTTTTTATCATCATCACCATAGTTATTATTATTATTATTATTATTATTATTATTATTATTATTATTATTATTATTATTATTATTGTCAAATCCTCTTTTTTAATTAATGGTCGTTAAAATGTCGATATCCATAACTACCTTTACTTCATGGTTTCATTGCTTTACTCTCTTACTCAAGAGAAGCCACGTTATGAATTTTTAATCGTCAAAGAAAATTTAAGTTTGATAAGCATATCTAGACCTTCGATTACGTCTAGTAACCTTAATTTTGTTCATTTATTTTCTTTTACGTTTTCAAATATTAGAATGACTCTGGCAAATGTGGATACTTTCAATTATCGGAGAAATTTAGTTTGACATGTTTGATACAAGATATTTAAAAAATGTACACACATCCCCAAAACTATAGTCTACCACAATATATAGCCAACAAATGTTTATCCGCATCTAAAACACTCATCCAATAGCTTGTTAATTTTTGTTGTCTTCTCTGTGATGTGCTGGGTCTGCCTAGGGCCGAGTCGCTGTATTGCTTATTGCGTTCGGAGGGCGTGCCCTCAAAATTACACGAGTATTTTGCATTCAATTTCAATAAGCCAACTTTGTTAGGAAATAAAATAACATATACATAATATATTTTGTGAAAAACTATTATTAAAGTAATTACAGACGTGTGTGCATGTATGAATATTCTTTGAATATTATATTTTTAAATTTTCATAAAGTTCTTAAATGTCAACGTTTCGTATGAACTTATCTCGCAGAGATACACATTAAATGATTTGCTAATCTCAGACAATATTTTAAATTAAAGAAGTGAACGGAACGTAATGAAATAAAATACATTCTGTTATAAAATGTGGTCTTAGAGAATGAAGTTGAATCTGTAGTTACGAATGGAAAAGTATACTAAATCAAAAATTAAATTCGTTCAGTTTGTGATGGTCAAAACTTTGATAAAATAAAACGAAGCCCTTCTCTATCGCAATAACCCTACGACCATAGAAAAATGATGCTTTCCTTTTTCCTGCTTGCTAAGACACTGCCCCAGTTCAGAATAAAAGTTCAGATTATTTTCTTCTGTAAAGAACATTACTTGAGAATACTTTAACACCTTCTAAATTAAGGTGTTAAAGTATTCTCTGAAATAAAATTCACATATAACTCGCATATGTTCCAAAAAGATGTAATAAAGAATAAAATATAGGTAGTGAATAGAATTAACGGAGCATCAATAAAAAGTAACTTCCAGAATATTTTTAAAGAGATTAAATGATAAGGAATGAACACAAATTAACAAAAGTACAAATGATAGGAACACAATCAAGCACTAATTTTTCCCTCTCTAGTTTTTCAAGCTTTTTTCAGCAGTTGCTGTCTGAAACGAAAATATGAAAAGTACGGAATTTAGAATTCTTCTCCATCAGTTTTCTTCTTTTCTCCGCTCAGTCGTGGGTTCAGAAGGAAAGGTCCCGCCATCTCTGATCCTCCCGAGATTGTAAGCCAGTCGATATAAGGGTTGGTCAAAATCCAGACTTCAAGGAACCGCGACACGCTACGAAAAGCGTGGCGGTCTGCAAAAGGCATGGTCGATACGGAAACGCCTGGAACAAGGCTTTGTTGTGATTCCATTACCGGCGCCTGTTAATAAAATAAAGACACTGAATTTCTACTATTAACCGAGGGGGAAAGAAAGAGGAACGAAATAGAGAAAAAGATAGAACCTCCGCTCCAGAGGAATTTCTTAATTAAAAGTTAATTGTTCGTGCAACGGGAGCTAGATGGTAGCAGTGCAGTGCAGGGTCACGGACGATTAGTACGCACCGACGCCGCGGTCGCTGCCTGCGCCACCGGCCGGCTTGTACGTCAGTAGTCGGTGGGCGGGGTACTAGGATGGGCGGGGGGAACAGCTGAGAGAATAGAATAGGGAAATTATTACAGCTTTCTTTTTTAGTATGTTTTACATTTTGGCTCCAACAAACTTAAACAAATTCATTCTATTACATTAGTATGCTTCGGGGTTGTGTTTTGCTTATAAAATTGCACATACTCAGTAAGAAAAGTGTGCACAAGTTAGGATGAAGGACGTGTTGCTATTGAATCGTTATTTTCTTTTCGAACACGAATGTGTGAAGAAACAATTTTGAGTGAATGGGAACTTAAGATTATCAGGTAAGAGTGATTTTGTTTGATATTTAGAACTTTGTTGCCTTAACTAACATCCCTTTGGTCACGCCTTGTATTGATGCATTATTAAGTTTGGGCGTGTATGCCTGCAGCGTAGTGGATGTTCACAGATCTAAATCTGACATCTAGCTTTCGTAGTCGAAAATATAATGCACGTTTCATTCTTTTGCCATCGTTTGTGCGACCTCATCATTTACTTTTGCGTAATCGTTAATTTTTTCAATTTATTGAATTTTTTCTTTCATCTTCATCATTATCCAAATGTTATTGCAAGGCTTCTGCATGATCCCTGTCAGCCGTCAGTTGCATGAATTTCGTATATTTTAGATTCCGTTAATTTATCATGTAAATAACACATTTTGAAAGTCTTAGTAATACATTCACCCTCATTCTTTCTTTTCAGAAAAAAAGTGTGAAATGATAAAAAAAAATAATTGAACATACTTAATACATAAGAGGAGGAGAGCCAAGTTTACTGGTGTTCATTAAAACGCCAGTGACTCAAGACCCCATGAAGAAAATCTATTTGAATAGCCTGGATAGTACTCAATAAGGGCTGAAGGGCATACTGTCTTTGTAATTAGGTGTATGTGTTGTACCAGACTTAATATAGATTCTCTCCCATCCCTAGGATTGCTGAAGTTCATGGTTTCTGCTATCCCATGGGTGGGGGGAGGAGGAGAACTCCTTTTCCTTACTATCATCTTTAAAATCGTACCATCATTACAATAAGACCATAAAATGATCCTTGCTTGAAATGGTTGTCATTCATTTTTAAATCGTATCATTCCTAGTAGTTTCAAATTTGTAGGTGTGGCTCAGGAAGAATCCTTAGAACAGGGAACACTTGACCATGCTCAAAGCTTATATTGATAGTCTTTTTCCTTATTATTTCCATTTCCAGTAATTTTCTACTGATAAGTATATATAGATCATTTTCTAGAGTACTATGCACTAAAACTTTATGGGACAAATAGACGGGTGTTTCTATGACAGCCCTGAGTGCAAATATTGAAAACTGCTTCTAATTGGAAGCACCACATTTGTGATGTCCCCGTCACACATTACACTCAATAAAAGAATCGCTGTTCTGGGTGCCTGTCACCTATGAAGGATAGTTTGATTAATCTGAGTCTCTGGAAGCACAATGTCCAGTTCATGTCTCTGCTGCTTCTAGCATGAGACTGACTTTGACACGAGGATTGACATTGATGTGCCTGGTAGCTGGAGCCTTGTTGACATGGTCTGTGCTTCGCAATTCTCATGCAACGAAGTTTACACAGACATGTCACCATCCAAAGGCCTTTCAAGATGCTTTGCATGAACTGGCTGACAGGTAAGACCAACAGCTGACTTGTACAAAATGAGTTTTGTAACATTAATGTTTTGGGTGTGGCATCTGACAATACCTAATATGTTTAAGAATTTTTTTTTTTTTTTTTTGCACTATGAAACTTGAACTTTCAACAATCTCTCAGTAGACTTTCTGTTTTGGCATTCAATCTTGAAAATTTAATCCATTTAAATATTTTATTTTTTAATCCTTTAAATTTAATTTTGTACTATTTCAATCTTTCACTTTTGCCACATCTACCTTTAAATACTGCTGCCTTTTGATTTGTGAATAGAATAGTTTCACCTGAAGCAGATTTTATTCTCTAAAATTTCTTCAATTTAACATTTCAATATTTTTAATATATTGGTTTCTTCCTTTCTATTTCTCAGAATTAACTTCCTTGTGCATATCATTATTTTCAGTAAGCAACAATGTTGTAAGATTCAATCTTATGTGATTTTCTGAAGAATGAATGCAATATTTTTAAATTGGGATTAATTTATGTAATATATTCTTGTTTTTTATAATATAAGATGTCTTTACATATAATTTTTCTTCTAAATTACCTAAAACATCGTAATCTATTGCTTCCACTTTCAGAAATTTGATAAATAAATTTTAAATTCAGTGAGATAAATATTTCAATATTTAATTAATTAAAGGGAGTTTATTTTAATATAGAATAAGAAAAAACAACTTGATATCTTTTTAAATTCTAGGGGGGTTAAATAAAAAAAAGTTTATTACCTTCAATATACAGGTGTGCGACATGTCCCTTGGAGGAAATCAGGCATTTCAAACATAATTCAAGCGAACACTATAGTTTGTGTTCGCACAACATTGTTGCTTCATAAAAAGAAAATTGAAAATCAATACAAAAATTTTATAACTTTTACTTACTAGACACTCCACTTTCAATAATAATTTAACTGAGAATAGCTAGCTGCTTCAAGCCTTAAATATCAATTTTTTTTTTTTTTTTTTGTGAATGTGTGGGGCACCAGTAAGTAGCCACTAAATGTGTGTGTTCAGGACACATCGCGTGCTCTCCTCTCTTGGGTTGACCCACTTCTTGTGCTACGGAGCATTGTGGGGACAAATCCGATTGTCAAGAACTCTACCTTGGGAATCAGACGTGGAGTTCTGCCTTCTGAATGAGGAACTTGCTCGGCGCGATGAAGTGTTCCTGATCCGTACTTTCAAGAAGTTTGGCTTGGAGCTCTCCTACGAGTCCAGTGAAGGCCAGTACAAGGTGACGGACACGAAGGTGCCGGGTGGTTATGTGCAGCTCATTGTCTTTGAGGAGGACCCTCTGGTTAGTGTCATAATCTTCCTTATGTTATTTTCAATTCATTGTTGTACACATTTTATGAATAGAACATTTGTTACAAACTGTCCTTTTCATAAATTAACATGAACAAAATAAGTCTATGAAAATGTTGTCTTCATGTTTTCTTCAAAAGTGATGTTCTTAATACTTCAATCATAAAATTGTTAGTAAAGTAACATCTTGAATATAATGTTTCATTTCAGTTATAATCATTTCAGTACAATTGTTCTTCAGCCATTTTTAATTATTCTTTCTCTTGCATCAAACTTCATTGAATTGTGTAAAACTTTGGTTATATATTAAAATGTAAATAGTTTATGGCTTCAGGGAAACCACCTAATCAAGATTGTGAAATACAGAGCTGAAAACAATATATGGTCAGCTTTTCTCTGTATTTCAAGTCCATGATCTATAGCTGTGATTTCTTGAATGTTGTGTATGGAATATCGATACTTGATGTTATAAGATTTAATATTCCCCAAACTTGTATTCTTGTGATTTTGTATAAAATTTGATGATAGTGTGAAATACACAGATTATTTTGTTGTTTTGACTTCATAATTCCATGTTTCATTCAGGATTTCACTTGAATTTTGCTTTGATATGTCATGAGTTTTTCAGATTTATGAGTGCTTCAATATTACTTTTTTGAAAAACTTTTCTGGTAATGGAGAGTTATCACATTTGTGAAATTTATTTTTTGTTAACTTCCCTTTCAAAGTTTTACAAGTTATCCTTATCAAGGGTGGCAGATATCAACTGTTGTTGTAAAAATTTACTTAATTATATCTTAAAAGTTCACAAACAAAAAGATCTAGGATTTAAGATCATTTTACACCTCTAGTATAAAAGAGCATAGATTAATACAAATGACAATCGCTATCAATAATTAATTACATAATTACAACAAAATATAAATTATGAAGTGTACCAAACCAAGTTTTGGTACAAAGAAGTGCTTCCTGTATGAGATTCCTTCCTACTAAAATATAAAACTTACTTTGGATATATTTGCTTCAGGAAAGATCACTCAATTGAAGCAAATAAATTATGAAGAATATTAAGACTTCAGATGTGACGAAGATATAATACTGAAAACTGAATAATTTATCTGCATTGTAATCAAGTTTTACTGAACAGAAAAATGAAGCACATTACAATAGGAAAATCTTAACAAAAATGTCAATTTTTACAAACAAAAGAATACCAAAGCTGCTGAAGTTCTTGCCAATGCCATCAATATTAGGTGTAGTCTGGCATTTAAGTTTTTAGAGTTATATACAAAATTACAGTACAGGCTACCAGCCTATAACTTAGTATCCTAGTGGGTATGGATTGCACCTTTTTTATCAAGGTGTCCTTTCTTTGGGCAATGTGCTGCCCCTGGCTGGGAACCCCTGCCTGGCCCAAGTGATTAGGAAAGTGATTTAAAAAAAAACATAACTAGGATACCTTACAGAAAAATAAAAGAAAGTTGGATTGGTATGAAAAGAAAGAGTGCAAGAGATTAATAGTAGATTTGAAGAATATGAAACAAATACTTCCTAGCTCTTGAAACTAATAGTGTTGGGTTCAGCATTATTAGATTTGAGAACAGAAAAACAAGTTGTGTCAAAGGAGCCAGAACGAGAAAAGGAAAAAAAGAAAAAAAAAAACAAACATAGTGTGGCAAATTAAGCGGATACAATATCACACTAAAAAAGAGCAAAAAGAAGTTTAAATCAAAACTTTGATAAGAAGAGAAGTAGTGAAAGGGGTTTAAAGATTATTTTTGAAAAGGAGCCTTAGGCAGAAATGGCCAAAAGAGGAGGCAATGGAGTGGGCAACAGCCTCCCCCTCTCCCCCCTGCGCAAACCTAAGCGTATTTGAGTTGGCTTTCATAAACAGATTTAAAAGACAATACAACAAAATGAAGTTTTTTTTGTTAAAAAGAAGTGAAAAAAAGCCAAAAATGCATTCTGGGAATGAAAGTGTGATAGACTAGCCAAGAGCTTAGGGCATGGAATATGTTTCATTAATCAAGAACAAGGAGTACCTGAGAAAAGTAGATAATAGACTTGATTTGTACTGAAAATGGTAAGAAACCCATGGAATCATCTGACAGAAAAGGTAATTGAATTAAAAAAAAAAAGATTATGAACCAGAGCAGGTAAATCTGCTAGAACCAGGTGTCTTTTAAGTAGATTTAAAAAACAAACAAAATTTGAAGCCTTAAGAAACTTTTCAACATTTTCTCAGAAACAGACCCACGTTTTCCCTTTCTTAAATAGAGTGAAATGCTCTGAATAATACGCACAGATACCATACTCATTCAAACCTCTGAAATTTCAAAAGTTTAGTTTTTTCGAATCTTTCGTATATCTTTATTATTGAAGCTAGAGATTTCTTTCTAAATGCAAGCTATTCTATGCTCTGAATCTTTAAGTAATTTAATATTGGCTTTTTTCAAATTATTCGTAATTTTTAAACGATTTTCCTCATATAGTAAAAATTTTGCCTAAGGCTGTTCCATTTTTCTTTAAAATGCGTGTTAGGAGAGAGAGCACAATGTAATTTAAACTTTTTGCTGAAACTAGATATCTTAATAATATGAATAATAATCTTCAACGGTGCTATAGTCAGTGCGTTTCACTCAGTTGCGTTCATAAGTTTAAACCCAATCCAGGTAAATATTTTAGCAAAAAAATTGGAGAGGCAAGTCGTAGATCAGTGAGGCATTGCCCAAGTTAGCTATTCCATCGCTGGTCGCATAACGTTGAGTTAGTGCAGTGGCACCCTAAACCAAGTAGAGGCCCCCAAACGCCAAAATTTTGTGGATCTCAAAATTAAGTCAGAAATAGAATTTGCTACAAAACTCCCCCAAAATAATGTCAGAACGTTAAACATTTTAAAAAAATTAACATTAATTTCCGCTTCAATGTAAATGTAGGCAATTTTCTGCTCTAAAAATTAATTAATTTATTAATTAAGTTAAGAAATTAAGAGTTTTTGTACGCCACGGCGGACAGCGCTATCGATCTTCTGGGCTTGCGCAGTTCATGTTTCGCACGAGTTGTGCATCTGCGCATGCGCAGAAGATTTTTGCGCTGTCCGCTCTGGCGTGCAGATATTCCCTGTAGTCTTTCTTCTCCCATTGTATTCTTTAAATAATTTTTGTTCCTCTCTTTAAACTGAAAAAAATCTCAATGTGGAAACGTTAGGAAAGGGATTTTTTAGAAAAAAAATCAATATTTCAATATTCGAAATCGTGCAAGGCTCGTTATGTGATATATATTGACATCACAATCACATGAATTTTTTTAAAATTCTGTTACTTGCGTAATAGCGTCCCCAAGCCACAAGGGCGTTACACGGTAATAGTAATTCCCCGTGAGCATAATTAGTCAGTCTTGCATCTAATGAAAACTGTCTTTGCCTTGTTCCTATCGGCCTGGAACTCGGCGGCGGCGTGAGAATCAGGACGGTTCCCATTCCCAGACGGTCACCCAACCGGGACACGTGGTGACTTGAACTTCATAACTTTCGGGAGGTTTGTTAAGAAGTTCGGCTACCAATGTCCTTCACGCCATTCTTCGATTCCGTTGGGACCATGAAAAGTGTGAGATTTCTTAATAGCACCATTTCCATAAAAAAACTTTTTTTGTTAAAAACAAATAGCACGATGTGAAATTCGTGGCCCTATGGTATCCCGAGCCCCAATCCGCTTATCGTTAAATGCCTGAAATTGTCGCACGGGTTCAGCTAGTACTACAATCATTCACTTTTTCTTAATCATGATAAAGTCAAATTAGCAGTGATACAGAAAAGCACAAGTTTTCTCGCTCTAATATTCGAACAACCTCTTCCAACGAACTACCTATGGGCGTCGAAAAGGCAATTTTTCCAATTTGTTGGTCTCTTAAGAATAGAATTAAAGTATATCTTTAAAGAATATTTTGGAAGAGTAAAACTTGGTCCTACACCAAATTTGTATTGAGAAATTAGAACTGCTTTTGGAAAAATGTTTGAACGTTTCGGAAACTGCGAATTTTCAGCCAATTTCAGCTAATCGGCGAACACACAAAGGTTCGAGCTTTTGAGATACTTCATAAGAAATCATTTTAAGCTTTTGAACTCGTAAGTACAATAAAATGCCCATAATGTAAAATATTACGAAGGGCGATATATTTCAAAAAAAAATATTGATGCAATTTTTAAACAATCAAAAAAATACTTCAAAATGACGTTTATATCATGTTATTCAGAGCAGTTAGAACTATCCCTGCAAAAAGTTTAAAGAAAAAATTGGAGCTGTTTTTGAGAAATTCTTATATTTTCCAGATTTCACTCAAATTTGCGTGAAAACTAACATTTAAAAAAAAAGTACATCAATTGAAGAATTACTTCAGGAGAACAGATTTTGAAACAGAAATCTCCATCTTTATTGTAATTGTCGGACATTAAGAATTTTTGCAATTATTTTCGAAAATTCCAAGAATTCAACCAAAAGTAGACACGTACCAGTTTAATATAAATTTTTATTCTATCTGAAAGGAAAATACACAAACAACAAACATTTTGGAGCAATATTTGAGAAAATGTTGAAGGTTCATGTTAAGTCGTTCCAAATATCAAAATGGCCGTTTCAAATTCAAGGGGCCGCTAGATCAGCTAGATCGATCAGGTAATATACATTTTGGTGAAAATTTTATGTACGATTTAGCCGTTACCGTTTTCGGACAAACGGGTAAGTTTGCCCGTAAACCAATTTTTCAATATCATGGACCCACAAAACATTGATTCTGACTTCTGAGCGTGTTGGAGGAAGTACTTTATTACATACAGGAACAAGAATGATTTACATTTGGGATATCAGGGTTCTACAGTACATTTTTTCGCGAAAAATCGCCGTTTTCTCTGCAGCATTGCCTAACTTTCTTTATTCTACGAATGTAGTATGAGAGAAAGTAAAAAGAAATGTACCTGCACTTCTCCAAAAATGAGCCCTATGTAGGATGAACAAACTCTCTAATGACACTGAAAACCTGAATTTAAAACACGTATTGTATTACATTCTATTTCTAATTTTATTATTATTTGTATAATGTGTTAAATACTACCAAATTTCATATAAAGTAATACAGAGAAACCTGAGGAAATAGCATCACGACTAATCTGTCGTCTCCATTAACGGCCGTTTTTTTCTTAGGCAGATTGCTTTTCTAAAAGGCATGAGTAAATATTTCCGCTTTGAAGCGGTCACCTGACAAACAGCCATGCACCTTTCCATATTAACGTGTTATGTTTTAGACTATGGATACTTTTTGGCGATTTTACGAGTTATGTATGTCACTATTTCCTGGCGAATTCGTTATTTTTAGCCATCATGGATAAATTTGTATGAACGACGAACGGATCATTTCGAACTTCATACTATTTTTTGTAAAACCGAAGACTCGGCGCCCACTCAGAAATTCATAGCGAAGCGTCATCTTTTAGGTGGTATTAGGTGAATAGTCCAGTTTAGCTAAAATATATGTTTCCAAGGAGTAAAAATTTTTGACTGACACAGTAAAACTTGAAACTACACATTTTGTCTCTTAAAAACTTTTCATCAGCAGTCTGATCCCTTTTTTCGCATATGTTCTGGGTCTGGCCTCTGTAACATACATCCCCTATTTTATAGCTACCACGTGTTTGCTAATGTACTCGTCACCTGGATTAAGTCCGAAATGTGCTTCGATGTTGTTACTTCTTCGTGATTGATAATGTAAACTTAAATTGGCTTATTAGGAAATTAGCTAAATTTGGACTTTAGCCATTAAGAATGTTTATGGTTGAAGCATGTTTAAACTAATGATAAATACATAATACATATGTATAAAATTAATTGATAAAATCAGAGAATGTAAATTTAGATGCCGTTTTTTTTCCTTTTTATCGCTGCTAATGGGCACCTTCGCACCTGTTGGGTGCATGCCATAGTATTATTACATATAATTGTTGCAAATGTGAGACTTTAGTTGCACTACTATTTTATGGTATTGCCTGCAGATTTCAGTATGTAAGGAGGAATTTCATCCTTAGGTAGATTGTACTGATATGTGCTGCTGATAAGTACTATCAAAAAACAAAGAACAAAGTGGTTTCAGACCAAAATGAATGGGTATAGAAAATATTTTCTGTTTCAAACAACTGATGTACTTTCAAGAAAGCAATTAAGCGAGGAAGGGAACTACACAAAATGTTCATGGACCTAAAAAATGCTACAAGGTGTTATACCAGATAGAGAGGTAAGGAAACCAACAAAAAAACTAAAATCAACAATATATGCAGTCTGACAAGGTTACTGCATCTGTAACCATGTAAAGTATACATTGACAAAGCCTCAAAAGAATTAAAAAGAAAGTGTTGAAGTATGTGAAGTAGTAGAGTGAAAATAGGAAATGGGGCATATTACTTTCTACTATTTGTAGACTTCAAAGTGGTGGTGATGGTGGTGGATGATGATGATGAGTTTGCAAAATAGAAACTGCTTTTTTCATATCACTATCATATGAATTTTTTTCTTTCCCAAATACCTTTCTTCAGTTTTGAATAGAGGTAGTAGTTCCTGGGTGCTAAATCTAGCCTGTAGGGCAGATGGTCACAATTGTTGAACTTGTTGAAGCCACACATTCTTTATGATCTGGGCATTGTACACAGGTGCAACACCATAAAATTTTATGTGCTACATCCAACTCAATATGCTCTGTCCACAAAAGTGAATGAGATGATAGCTGGAAACATAGAGCACTATAACAATAAAAGAATCTGCTATCTACTGCTTGGAAGGTTTTTTCCATTATTGAGTGTTATCTTAAACAGGCCAGAAACTTATGGACTCACTATTTAGAAGAATAGGGGAAGAGTATCAAAAGTGGGGAATGGAAGTAAGTTTGCAAACGACAGAGTGTATGTTGGTGGCTAGAAAAATCCCGCTATAAAGAGACTGATATTGTCACCATATACTCTGTACACAATGTAAATACTTGGAAGTTACAGCCAACAGCAGATGCTAGAAATGCACCAGACATGCACAATAAAAATAGTCACAAGACCGTTGAATCCAGTCCTATGGAACTCAATGACATAAGAAAGAGACTAAATATATTTTAGTCTCTTTCTTGCAAGTACACATATTCTGTTAGTTACAGTAAGAAATGAGGATATAAGAAACAAAATGAAACCGAAATCAATCTTGAACAAAATGATTAACATTAAACAACAACAAATGGTATGGGCATATGAAAATGTTGAAATCAGATAACACATCCACAACAAATAAGGAATCTAACACTTGATGGAAGAAGTTACCAGGGAAGAGAGAAGAACCTGGAGTGTGACAATAACTGAGGTTGCACAAAAAGAAAAATGGAAGAAAAAGTCAAGTGTGATAAAGAGGTGTAGAAAGCAGATTTTGTGAAAAAGGCCACAAAAGCTTAGAAAAAAACTAAGTAGATAGTCGGGTGATACAAAAATAAACATTGAAGTTCTTCACAACATTCATTTGACTATTCTTTTGTTTTTTATGATTGTGATACAAGAATAATAAGCTTTTTTTTAAAAACGAGTTTGTGATGAATCCCAGAATTAAGTTCTCTTGGAAAATTAGTAATACACTTTTAAACTGTTTTACCTTATTCCTTTCATTAAATCTGTTGCCTGTTCTTGTTTATAAATGCCTCTGTATGAATTTTGATAGCAAGAAGTTGTTTACATATGTTGCTTCCTTTGGTTCCAGATTAAAGTGCTTCGCCGTGTTGGCTGGAAGCGCCGCATGCTGCCTCCTGATTGCGAAGCAATGCCCTCCCTCCACTGCTTTCCACCTCATCTGGCAGCCCGACCCCTCCCCGAGCGCGAGTTTGGGGGGTATGTGATGCCAGTGCCGCGGGAGGGCATTGAGTTACAGAAGTACCACTACCAGGATGACTGGTGGAAGGAGATTACACCGAAAAACTGCTAAACCCTATTATTCCAAGTTTCAAATCCTTAACTTAAGCCTGATAAATGCATGGATTTTTATCTGCTATCTGATGCAGATGTTTTGCTATTTGAGCACTTACATACTCACTGATTGGAAATTAGAATGGGTGAGTTCATTATCCCAAAATAAGTTTCTTGCATTTTATCTTTTATTGCACCCAGTTCAGAAATTTTGAATCTATTAATAATTAGTAGTTAGTATTATGCAATGATGTTGCAATCAGCGCATCTGCAGCTAGCTCAAGTATATTTAAATTATAATCCCCTTTTACTTGGGAATATTAGCATAAATTCAAATTAAGTAGGATACTTTGCTTTATGGTATATAGAGCCAGCTAGTCAACAGCACTTTGTTTGCTGGGTTCAAACTCATTTTGAGATAAATTGGTGCTTTTCTTTCTTTTGGAAAGTTTAGGGTAAGTAGTCATAAAGTGATTGAAAACGTTACTATTAAATGTACACTCTAATATCTACTATAATGTATGCTAAGCTAATGTTATTAATGGACGAACAAGGCTGTGAACATAACCATAGTTCAGCTTAGTTCATCTATTGATCAGAGTCAAACTGGCTTGGAGATGCTATCCCAAATGAGGGAAAAAGGATGAAGAATGAAAGTAGCTTGCAAGTTTAGCGTTGCTGATTTTGTGGGTAGTTATATGGAATTCTAACTCTCAATTATGAAAGAATTATATAACCAATTTCTTTCATTAGATGTAATGTGTTTCTTTAGCTGCTGCACTATTCTTAAATAGATAAATGTTGCTAATAACCAAATATAATGTACTACGTGTGTGTGTGTGGAAAATATATTGTAAATAGTTTGCAATTTTAGCATTACTAAGCAATTAGTGCACAAGGGCATTGATTATGGTAAGCTATAACATAAAGGGTTTGCCGAGTAAGATAACAACGTTGGAACAGTATGATTCAAATACTGATGTTTGATATGTCTATGTGCAGCCAAGATGGTCCTTCTCCAACGGACAATGGCTTGAAGTAAAGGCGGAATTCTTTATCAGTATTGCACAGTATTGTATTATCTGCACAATAGCAGGGTCCCTGGCTTTTCTTTTGACAGTTTCGTGAAAAAATCGTTTCATAATAACACCTTACAGTTCCATGGAAAGTGTCATTCCTTCATTAAACCCTTATGGTATCTATATATTAATAATAATTACAATACTAATCATCATGTAGCGCTGTAGGAGTCTGGAATGGGATTTATATCCTTTCGACATGGAGTCGAGGTGTCTGCCTGTACTGCAGTGTTTCCTCTTGGGCCTGGTATGGAAGTGCTGCAGGAGGCCACACTGACGTTCTGTGTCCCAATACTCTGAGAAGCTTTAAGAATATTTAATGTAAATACAACTATCATCATGTAGTGAAATGTTATAAAACTATGCATTTATTTCAAATGAGTCCACAAAGCCAATGGAGAGTTTGAATTAAAAGCATTGATGTCATGGGATTTTTAGGAATCTAGTAAATAATGCCACTTACAAAACGCTTCTTTATTTCTCAACTTTCTTATCAGAATTCCAATCCTTAATCCTATCTTCCTACGAAAGTAAGCAAAGAAGTTATGTTTCTCAATGTAGACATTTATTTCTGAGAGTTCAACATCAAACATACAAATGATCATGATCTGAATTTAATAACTTCTCAATATGTTGTGCATTCCTTTCTGGTAAATTAAGATGTAAAAAAAGATATCTAGAAATTATTATGAAAGTTTGCCTCAACTGAAGATTTATCTATGTTTTCCACTTCGAAAGGTAACTTATTGAATGAACAAGTTCAGTATTGCAGGTCCAGATAGCTGTAGCAGGTTCAAATCCTGCCCATGGTATATTTGAGTGGGTTTGTATTTTGTTACCGTTTTCCACCCATGTTACTTACAGTGGTTGCTTAGTAGTTGAAAAGCAACCTTAAATAAATGAAAAAAAAGTTCAGTGTTATTATTTATTGTAGAACGTGATTTTTCAGAGAGATGTCACAATTGCTGTTGTTCCAAATCCAGAAATTTCAACACTAACGTTTTGAGTTTCCTTAGTAAAGTGTTAGTGTCGAAAGAGTGGTAATGATAGTTGTGATGGAGATAAGTAATGAACAAGGGGATTGACAAGATTATGGACGTAAAGGGGAGGGAAATTAGAACACTTGATCCAGTCCCTCCTCCAATTGTCTGTCAAGCTCTAACCTTGGCTTCAGCAAAGAAGTTAAACATTCTGATCACTTCACCCCAGATCACCCAAATAAGGTTAACAAAACTGATTAAGTGGGGAAGACAACTAATTATGCTCTCATTGGAAATTGTTTCATAAGAGGAAAAATGACATATGTATACATCTCAATAAGAATACATCACATACATACAAAAGAATTAAATATATTAGTCTAAATTATTGTATACAACTATACAAACAAGACTGGAAAAAAATATTTAGAAATAATGGAGCACAATAGGCTACCTAAACAAGTGCTGCAGTAGAACCCTACAGAAAGAAGAAGTGTAGGAAGACCATGCAGAAGATGGTTTGATAAGTGAAGATGGAACAGGCAGCCGCCTAATCCTTAGAGTGCAGAAGAAGAAGAAGACGACATACAAATCCTTTAATTACAACCAATGTCATGAAGTGTCTGGAAAAATAGGTCATATGAAATGGAAAAATATGTACATTAATATGTAACAAAAACTGTAAGAACATGTAACAAACATATAAAATCTGATATAATATGAAAGATGAAAGTTCACAAAAAAACGTGTAGTGTACTTATACTGCACAACATGTTACAAAAAAAACAACAAACAAACGAAAACAAAAGTTCACAATTTGAAACTTCAGTAATAAAGTATTTGCTTAACCAATTGTAAACATGAATATTTTACTCTATCAACTGAAATAGAAATAACATTTTTTTTGGCAGCACAGAAACAATGGTACAAACATAAAAAACTTGATGATTAGTAGAATTCTCTTCGAAAAGCTACACTTCTACTACAATCAATATTTCTCGGATCGCGCAATTTAAGTTTTAAAAAAACAACAAATAAACACCAACTGTCCAACTTGTGATACCTCCAGGGCAACAACTAAAACCGTCAATATGATTGCGGGCAATATTTACACTACTTGGACGTTCCACATCTGACTTCCCCATATTGTTTGCCCAGCTTGCCAGAACTAGTAGGAGTAGATCATGTAATCCTTTAAAATTGAAGATATGTGAAATTCTATTGTCATCATACTGCTAAAAATGGTGATTTCAACTCACCTATCAAATAATATTATATTCAATCTGATGTCCTAAATTTCTTTAAAACATCAGAGGTAATATGTATTAAAGTAATGTTTTCATTTTTTTTTCTTTCTCATTGTGCATAGAATAGTGTATTTATGTATAACTATGAATTTATTCAGCAGAATAGATTAAAAAAAAAGGAGGAAAGAAAGATGTAAGGAAAATAATATGTCCTATCCATTTTTGTGATGTCAAGCCTCCAAAATGGGTGTTACAATAAATGAGTCTAACAGAATTATTGTGTCATGCTTACAGAGTAGAGTAGAGGTGAGGATCTTTTGTTACGTTAGTTATTCTGGAGAATCATCAAAACCTGTATCAAATGAGTGTAATATCTTGATAATTATATAATTTATTACTGATTTCATCAAAAGAAAATTGGGCTCCTACGAACATTTCTGGATTCTCCCTTAGTGGTAGCCCAAAAGCTGTGGAAACTAACATAAATTTAAATATTAGCAATTCATCAATCGTGTACTAGTAACAAAAAGGTAAGGCTTCACAGTAAATCTATGAGGTTTATCAACTAGAAAATAAACTTGACATCTTGAGTGCATAAACTATATAAATATTGTTAAATGGAGTATGTACCCTGACCCAAATGTCGAGAAGAAAATATGTGTTCTAAAACGTGTGGATCCAAATCAGAGAGTAACCACAGCCTTCTCTTTAGCCTTCTTGTTTATTAACGTATTTATTTTCTATATTAAATAATATACATTTTGAGAAATGCAGATGTAAAACAGGCATATGGTAATAAAATTGCAAAAAAATACATAGCATTTAACAACAATATCTTAATGAGCATTAGTTATCTAAAACAATCTTGGATTAAAACTCTTCTTTTAATATTTTATATCTCAGGTATTTTATATCTCAGGTAATACTATGTCAACAGATATGGTTTTGTTCAACTGTGATGCAGTGCATTACTATATTCTTAGCACATTGAGATTTCAATAATTACCATCCCTACACTATGTTGTTTCGCTGGTACATAACAAACCAGTAGGTACTATGTACCAAGAAGAAATTCAATTTCTCTGAGTAACAGAAAACAAAAACCAGCATTTTTGCCGCTAATATTAAGTATATCAAATGCACTTAAAATAAACTGATCTTGAACCAGAATATTTAAAGAACTGAGAGGAATGATTTAAAAAAGAACTTTAAAAGTAACTTTCCGAAACAATACTAACCTGCAATGGCAATGTGTAAAACCGTTTATTGATGTTTTGTCCTTGAGATAGGAACTCTTCACTGATTCTATTCGTATCTCTTTTTCCAGCTCGCCTTATCTTCACATTATGTATGTCACACTTCACTTTTGTATTCAAACATGTTATTTCTGGAAAAAAAACAAACGCAACAAATGGATAATACAAAACAAGAAATTACAAAAAATGAGACTTTCACAATCAATAATAATATAAATCCACACATTACTTCACTGGAGTAATAAACTTTAGATTATTTGGTACGTGTAAAAACAATTGCTCTAATAGAGAATAAAGAAGTTCTTGCATAATTATTTAAAAAAACACGTGGAACAGATCAGCGTGATTTCCTATAAAATCACTTCTCACAGAGAAAAGTCATGAATGAAATATTTGTGGTATTATTCCTCTAGAGTTAGGTATGTAACTTATTCTCATTGTACATTTCATGACCTCAACTGGAAAGTAAACAAATAAAACACTTACCGAACACAAAGCATTGCTTACTACAAAGTTTTTAATTCTACACTTAGTTGTAACTACAGCCTGGAAGTTTGGCAAAATGCCTTTTTGATACTGTTAGTATTTTATGACAGTTAACAATAAGAACCACTTAATTCTGGAGTTGTTTTAGTAAATTTTCATTTTACCTTTTTTCCCTATTTTAGTTTCTGATACCTATTTTTTCCATTTTGTCTTATTTTTGCCTCTTTCTGCCCTTTACATCATTATTTTCCTTTTTAATTCTCATGGCATTGGTCTGAATCACGTTGAATATACACCTGCAAGCTTGTACAACATGAAGGTTTAGTTGTTTTTTTGTCTTTCTGCACAAGCAGAGGTGTGTTAAGACTCTAAATGAAAAAAGATGATGATTCCAGTTAAGATTTTTGACTTTTGTCATTGAGGTTGATAGATTTTATTTGCTCACAAAGACCACTATCCTAGTTTTAAGTATGGCCTCCAATCCCTTTTTAGGACAGCACTCTGTTAATGATATACCTTTATCAGTTCTGGTGATTACACAAGGGCAAAGAATGAAAAAATATCATTCCGTTTTTACTGATGTAATTTCAAAACCCAAAAGGGAGTTCACAATGGCATTACGAAGAGATGACATCAACAGTAAAACAAATTCATAGCCATCATACCAGATGGCCAAGTGAAATCAATATTACAAAATAGTATAAAACTGGGATTCAGTTTAACTATTATTTTTTTAAATAATTCCATTTAAATGTGTTTCATTGTTTACATGCATTCTACTTTATCTGGAATATATGACCTTTTTAAATGCCTATTTTAGTAAAAATAAATGCTTTTTGCCTCCCAATTTTTGCTAAAATAAATGCCTGAACTTCTGAGCTCTACTTATGACATTGAGATATAAATAAGTTTACCAAAAACCATGAATACAATTTGAATCCAAAACTTATTTTGTGAACTAATTTTCATAAAACTACAGAAATACAGTTATGCAATTTTATGAAAATACTGTTGTTTCAAGTCTTAGCAAATCTGAATAATTAATAAGACTGTACATCTGTCTAAAAAGAGAAAACATCAGAGATTTCATGTAAACCTGAGAATAAGTTATTCTATTCAGCAGTGCTTGAGTTAACTTGGGAATTCCCATTTGAGTTGTGTCATCTGCAGCAAACAGAAATTTAGGGCCTTATTATAAACTCCTGCAGATTTCTTTTGATATTTACACACATTGATAAATGTAGACACTGCTCCTTGTGGTGAGTGTTAAGATAGATTTTTGAAAATTATTACAAGTACTTGAAAAAGTTTGTGCCTATGCTCTTAGTCCAATTCCAAAAATAATTAAAAATACCTAACTAAAGAATTTGAATTTTAGTTTTATTTAAACCTGAAAATTTTGGAGTTAACCATTTAATTATTTTTTCTGATGCAGTAAATAACAGAGGATTCCTTCATGCAAGACACTCAATGCCCAATTCACAAGTATTGCATTGATGAAGACACAACAAATTACATAAAGAAATTATAAAAAAAAAAAAAAAAGTATTTTTTGTAATTTTGAAAATTTAAACATTATGTGCTACGAAAAAATTGTGAGCATTTATTTTGAAAATTTAGTAGATCTATTCACAAGATAATATAAATTTCTTATATAATTAGACAGGTTACTTTTAGAATACTAATGCAAATGCTACCTTATGGATGGTAGTGAAAGAACTACGGGTGTCACCTTCATTACACCCCTACAGTATTATAGTTCCACCTTCTAATATCACTTAGGAACACCTACAGGTAACAATCTAAAAAAAATGAAATACAAGTTTTCGAAAATACTGAGTGATTATGATATTTGTAATTATTACTGTGTTCATATTCATAATTAGAATTATGCTGAAAAATGTTATGCATTTTTAAATGGGAATTGTCCTGTTAATGTTTTGAGGGGGCATAACACCAACAGAGTGTAAAAGAGGGAGGTATAATAAGAAGAAAAGAGGCTGGGAAGACCTGTAAAGGGATATTAGAACACTGGTGGGTCCAGGGGGACTATGCCCCACCCTCTCAAAAGGCCTGGAGTTTTCATTTACCTTCCTTCATTTTACTAAATTGATTTAAATTTTTATTTATATTCCGATTATGTAATTATTTAAACAATAATATTGCACAGTACCATATCTACAGTACATAAATAATATACAATATAGTAATAAATATGTTTATTGTTTAACAAAAATCTATGATGGACCTCCCAAAATGATTGGCTGGAACTGCCCGTGTTAGAAAATGATAAATTTTACTCTGAGATTACATTTTGAAGGGCAAGTTTAAAGGACCATACAGTGTTGAATTTACGGAGTAATGGAAGAATTTCATTTTTAGAAATTCTTAATTTTCCACTGGAAGTTTGATATAAACTTCAATAGGGACTTAAAAGCACTAATAATTGTAAAATTATTATTCCTTTTAACATTTGATTTATTTTACACACATTGATGACTTATACATGTAAGTCAACATTGATTTCAGTCACTCGCAGATTATTGATCTAGAGCAAAGGTGTACTGACGAGGCTGTAAATTTGATAGATAACAGTAGACATTTGAAAATTTTGCAATTTTGCAAAAGCATTTCAAAAGTTCAGTGAAAATATTCAGTGTTGAACTATGGTTTTTAGTAATGAATAGAACTAAAAATTGTTGATTCAGTAATTACAAACTTGCATTCTTTCAAATTTGTTCATTTCAAAAGTGAAGGTAAAAGACTCATCTTTGGATGTTGCTTTTTCTATCTTATTGCCTATGAGGCTTTAAACTGTATGTGTACTGTTTTTTCTCAATTGATCTGCTGGCACAGAAAAGAAGAACCATGAAGAGGGTAATGACTAAATTAAGAAACAGGATGGGTCAGGATACACATCAAGCTAGCTTGTATGTCAAATCAAGGAAAAGAGGAAATCACAGAGATTTTCACTGAAGAGGTCATTGATAGAAACACTGAAAAAAATTTTTTTCTGAAAATGTAAGGTTATTTCATGCAACAATTTTATGGTTGTTATTATTTTGTTAAAATATTCCTCATTTTTAATATGCTTTTTTAAAAGTAACTTTAATGTATACCTGAGTTAAATTTACCTGAGGTAAATTTCAAAATATCATTTTATTAGTATTATCATCTTGATATTTTACGAACTCCACTGAAAGGTATGCGTTCAACTACTAATAACTCAATCCAAGGTTTTTCTTCATTGATATAATTTTATCAGAAGAGGTAGTTGCTGGCTCTCTAGCACATTTCATATAAAATGTCTGCACAGTTGTTCCTGTATCTTGGGTTTTCATAATTTGAATGTGAATTGTTATCTGTACTATCATTAGATTTGTAGGTAAGTATTACATAGGTAAGTAGTATTTTAATATGAACTGCAGAATGAATTACAATGCTGGTCAATTTTAATATTTCTCTGTATTCATGTTCTTTCAATGCAACATTAATATGATTGGAGTGTTAAAATATCTGAATAATATATTAAATATATTAATATATATAAAATATATTGAATGTGTTTCATATTAGTTACATCAGTTGAGTTTCAACTGTATGTTTATTAGTTACTTAATTATTAGTTAAGTTTAAGTAATAATTTTCAACATAGATTGTAAGACACTTTAATACATGTGATAATGCTTCATAATTTAAATGTTCCATACAAGCTATTTAAAATAAATATATTGTTCTGTAAGGAAGGTAACTGAAGCCAATACATGTAACAATGTGTAACTCAGAATATTGTAATCCATTTACAAACAGTCAGAATTCATTTAATTGATTAAATTAATTTAAATTATCAGACTAATTTTAGATATACATTTTTTGGCTTTTATTTCTAGCTGGATAGAGGAGCTTTTGATCTTAATGGTCTTGGGCAAATTTTTTTATTTCATTACAACAAAAATGGTGTTTGATTATTAAGTTCTGCACAAAATCCTTTTTCAAAAACTGTCCAAATATTGTAGTACCGAAAACACTTAAATTCCCAAGTTATGAAGATTCAATGTATAACTTGAAATGATATGATTGTGTACAGATGTACTTCTTTATTTAATCTTTGTAGATTTTTTATTGCCATACATTTCTTCCATTTACTTTGATTATTGATATAATTTCTATTTACAGGATATAGCATGAATTTCCATTCAAATTTACATGGTGGCCAGATATCAAATTCTTTACAGTCCCATGAATATCTCCTTTTTTCATTTGTTTCCTGGTTCCATCCTTCTTCATAGAGTTGTTAGTAATGGCACCATAAATAATCTAAGAATTACTTATTTGTCATCTTGAAAAATTTCTTTTATCAGCATTTCACAGAGTATACATGCATGAGGATGATACATGCACTATGTTTGACAAAAATATTTTTTCATTTATTCGAATGTTAAGACTGAAGTCATATTTCATTACAAATTTTGGAAATCTTGCTTGTGGTCTTCCTAACGGTAATGACAATTATTTGTTATGAAAAATGAGGCTTTTATTTCTAGAATTAAAAATGGGCAATTTGCACATTGTACTTTATAGTTACTGAACATTTCTTTTCTTCAACACTTTTTATAGATCATATTGGTTTTAGATATTTTATACT